TAAATTCTCTTTCAGAAAAATATTGGCCGATTTATTACTTCGTACAGCACAGATCATTCCAGCAACATTGCAGTAACGATGCAGCAATGTTGCATGGAATTATCATTCGAGTAATATTGCAGCTTTTCAGCAATATTGAAGCAACACTGCGACGTTCAAGCAATGTTGCTGTATGAGATTAATTACTTAAAGTATTAAAAAGTACCTACTGAACAACAGTGTTTAATATTTAGATTAACGAACTTACTGTCTTTATTAATTATTAAATTAGTCGGTATTAGATTTCTGTAAAATTTAGCCGATTCGGATTGAAATTTCGTAACTGGACTCATCGGGTGGCGAGTATTTCTCCCTCATTTTCCCTTTCTCGTTATATATACATCACCATGCCAGCCACGCGCGAGAGACTCCGTTGTTTCTATACCGATTCGATTAATTACATCTTTCCTCCCGATGTAATTACTTCCTGTAATTAAACTCTACCGAACCCAACTGCGCTTCGTGAGCAACGTTTGTACGGAACGTGCGTGCGCGAACGTCTAGAATTTCTCCCACGGCGTTTCCTCAACTTTTCGAAGTGCACGCCGTTGCCAAGTGCACAGCAACGTATGACGTTCATTCTCGATGCACCAATAATTTCACTGTTTTCTTAAGACATAAAGAAATTACTCTTTCTCCATAAATTCGATATGTGTCTCCTTTTACACGAATAACGGCTATTTCCATTAATGTATTATAGATTAATTTTAATCTCTGTTCAACTTATTTTAGTCTTCATTTTTTTTCCAATTTTTTATGTCCATTTCTACTAATATCGATTAATTTTAATCTTAGTTTATCATTTACTATCATTTATTTCTTTTCTCATTCTTAGAAAGATAAAAAAAAAATAAAATAAAATCTGGAGAAAATTAAAAAGTAAGTTAGGCAATACTTTTCGTAATAAAATTATTTAAAGATTTTAAAATGCTTATTAACGTCTGTGAACATCAATATTATTAAACTGCTTCAAATTACAATTGCATTTCTAAAAATAAAATTCGACGTACAGTTTGCAGGATTGAATATGTACTTGAAAGTCACACCGGATTATTCGAGTACTAAAGACTCCAGCTTGTTTATTTAAGGCTTTCATTTCTCAGTATGGTTGTATATTCACGTTTACAGTCTTAAAAGGTTTGTTTCGGAAAGTAAGTTAAACCGAGATTAAAGTTAATCTACATTGATGGAAACGGGTAAGATAAGAGGATAATTAAATTAAAATCCTCGCATTTTTCGTTGGTTGCGTGGGGGAAAAACTATACACCCGCCGTTCCGGCGTTTGTCAGCTCCACGGCAAGGAGTAGTACATGAAAAAAGTCGTCCGTATCGAAAAGGAAATCGGCTCGAGACCGACGAGACCGGCCAAGGGAATGGAACCCAATGGAACCCCTCGACGTGCTAGACAGCCGCACCACGTATATACGTTCGCCTCGCCTCGCCTCGCCTCGCCTCGCCTCGCCTCGCCTCGCCTCACCTCGCCTCGTCTCGCCGCGTCTCGCCTTGCCTCGCGCGCGGACACCGCTTCGGTCAAGGTCGCAGTCTGCGCGCTCGACGTTCTTTTTGCACGTTCTCTTTCCCCAGCTGTACCCGGTGTCTCGAGTGAAACCGATCGGCGTCGGTCCCCGCGAATTCTATAAGCCTTGTAGTACCGCAGAAGGGTCGGTTCGCCAGCGTGCGAGACAACACGAAGTTCGACGTCGTCGCATTATGTTACGTTTCGTTTCGTTTTTGCGACCTGTGCCTGTATTCTGTAATTTTTAAAGACAATTTGTTATATCGTTATACTGGTCGTATATTGGGCAGATTTTTTTGTTCTTTAAATTCTTTGAAGTGGAATTTTACTTTAAAGAGTGCCGGAAAAGAGTGGCTCAATTTTCAATCTTTAAGAGTGAGATTTTATACACCGTTCGGAGTGACATTTCGTTCTAAAAGTTTCAGAGAGATGCCATGTATAATACATACGCAGCGACAGTACAACGATACCGACACTGTCGTTAAGAGTTACAGAATACAGGCATTGTGTCTACATTCTGTAAAATATAATGTACAGTTGAAAAGCACAGGAACAGGGAATAACAGGTTTCAAATCAGAAACTGTGTATTTTGTTATGCATGATTTCTACGATATTCTTTAAAACATTTAGCAGTAAATTGTCTCTTTTCCAAGTCTGGCTCAATTTTGACTCTTTACAGTGAGATTCCTTTAAAATAATTAAAAAGATTACTTTAAAAAAATTTAAAAAGTAAGTTGAAACCTCTGTTCTATTCTCTGCTCCTGTTGCCTGTGCTTTTCAATTATGTAGCAGATGTAACTCTTAATGACAATTTCTTATCGTTGTATTGTCATTACATTGCTTTTTTATCATGTATAATTTGTATGCAACGATAACATAACGATAGCGATACTGTCGCTAAGCATTACAGAATCAGAATACTGTATCCGTATTCCGTAACACTTAACAGCAGTGTAGGTATTATGATAAAGACTCTGCGTAATGATATAACGATAATTATCCGTTTGCATCAACATAGATTAATGATCTATTTTTCGTTCCTGCACTAAACTGCATTAGAACTTTCTTTCTCGCTTTCGCCAATATCAAACATATATCTATTTCACTTTAAATTTCAAAAATGTACACTACATTAACTACAAAAAACAGATCTTAATTTTAATCTCTCTTCAATTTATTCCTCATCCTTTTAAAAATTCTTATGCCTGTTTCTATAATTCTAAAAATTAGAAAAGGATAAAGATTAAATCAAATTTAATATATGTCGCTAGAAATGAACTAGCACTAGAAAAGATGAAAAGTAAGTTGAACCGAGATTAAAGATTATACATTGGTAGAAACGGGCGTAAGAGTTATAAAAAGGTATTGTTGGACATTGTATTGTTTCCGCACTATCGCGCGGAAACGCCAGCCTTTCTTTTCATGTTTAATTCTAAGAAAGTTTTCTGGGTGCATCTTTGTCTTATCTCGTTCGAGATTTTTTTTACAAGAACTTTTTCCACACGTCGCGTTTTCCACACTGCTAGGAAATAGTATCTGCAAGATTAGTCATCTATAGCTCTAATTATATCTCGACGGAATTGTAATTTTTCTTTCATCATAATAACACAACACGTTTGCGGTTTTAAGTGGAGCAGTATTTGCATAGGCGGGATTGTTAGAATATTTGCAATCGTCCGTCGATTAATAATCAATATGATGTATAAATTTGTCAAGGATCTCGCGGACTTCGTAATATCCGCGGTCTTTTGACACAAAGAGAGCGGCTTCCGATCCCGGCAAGGCGTAACGTCGGATTGTATCGCGGCGGCGATATGAGAATTTTTTTCACGGATACAATGAATTTTAATACACGTCTCAAGGCCTGCGCCGACGAAGGCACTTTGTATACGTACATAAAGCAGGATTGTACATGAGACTATGCGGGATAATGTGCCGAGGCTTGGTAACTCCACCACCGTTGGCGGAATTCGACGGCCAATGGGGTACGAGTTTCCTTCTCTCGGCGCGAAAGGCGGCTCATATTACATATTTACAATGCTCACCAACGTTAAAAATTCTCC